CCCCTTCCCGGTGGCTCGGGGAGTGGCTAAGAGCAGCTGCCAGGGAGACCCTCGGGAGAGGAGGGGTGGTTGGGAGCGCAGCCAGGAGGAGGTTGAAGCAGATGGTGGGCGCGGTTGTGACCAGTGGCCCTTGGGGGACCAGTGGCCCTTGGGGAACCAGTGGCCCTTGGGGACCAGTGACCCTTGGGGACCAGTGGCACTCGGTCCTTCTGCCCAGGCTGCACGGATGTCACGCGGTTGGAGATGGGATACATTTGTCTCAGTAGAAGATGCCCTGCGGGCAAACATCATGCTAGAAGAGTATGTTGATTAACCTCAAGTCAGGAAATAGGTATTTGAATATTAGAGGGGCAGTGGCGTTGGTTTTGTCACCTGGATTCTCTTAACTCCTCTGGGAGATGGCTCATTTTGAGCTACACTGATCCCTGGAAGCTACTTGTAATCGTGAATAATGGCTTTGCCGTGCTCTGCCTGTGGTGTTGCTCTGTGTCCTGCCAAGTTTTGCTGAATTTGCAGCTGCTGCTGGAGAGGAGCGTGGCAGTTGTACTTGGTTAGTTGTACTTGGTTACACAGCACTCAGTGTAGCTGATAGTAGGGGCTTTCTGGTGGTTGTAATTTGATTGAGCATGAAGTAACGACAAGAGGTATAGAAGAAATGTCTGTTACTGTGAAGAGGTTGTGATAGCTCCTTTGGTTAAGATTCATCAAGTTAGTTTTCTGAAGCTTCACACAATCATTGGCTTTTCTGGTTTGAAAGCTAACTGTATGCTTCCAGAGATGGGCAAATTACTGTTTTATTTATTTCTCAGGGAAAAAACAGACTTAACATTTATTGTTTTTATGATAAAAATGGAAGACAGTAATTACATAGGTGATTAATACATTTTGTTGTGGATAAATTTTGAGTTATCCTGTTTTGGCAATATCACTCTAGTCACTATAGAAAGAAGGGACTTAGGTGCTGCCTGGGAAAGCTGACTACTCAAATTTTTAGAAGCTTGCACTTTTCTGAGTGGGTACTGCTGGACTGCTTGTTATGTCCTAAGACTTAGATGGTTAACTCTGCACAGTCTGTGGAGGGTGCGTGTCTGAGCGAGAAAGAGAAACTGAGTTAAAGCAACTTCACAAAGGCTGTGTACAGTTTGTGAATAAGGTGGCTTGTTGCTTATATATCAAATTGCAGTATCTATACAATATATTGCTTTGTATTTTTGTATATTTGAAGGCGGACGGGGACATGAGTAGTGAAATTAATTTTGCATGTTGTCAGGCCCTGATAGTTTTGACGTTTGATAATAAGTTATGTTTACTTGATAGTGCCCCTTGCTAGTTAGGCTGCTGCTTTACCTACGGGTACTATGGCAAAAATCTAGCTATGCTTTCTTCTCTTATCTCTTGTTTTGCAGTCCCTGGTTATAGTGAGGGTGGGAACTGTGAGGAAGTGCCATGTGCTTGGATCTTCAGGGGTCTCCAGTGAGTTCTGCATGAGGCAGATCCCTGCTTAGGGACAAGGGAATTCAGAGGCTCTTTGGTAACCTGTGTGAGGGGCACTGGCTGAGGTCTCTGGAACATTGACTGGGTGGGTTAGGTCTTTGTGTGCTTTTGTCATCTTGCACATAGCATGGAGTAGGGGTAGCATGGGTGCTGAATGCAGGAGTATCCTGCATGCCCTCTGTCTTAAGGTGTTTTGTCTATAATTTCCAGTGTGAGAATGACTGCAGTGGTTAAACAACACAAAAGTAAAAAATAATAAAGAGAGATCCAGTAACAAAGTTGGGGGTTGTTTTGGTTTTAGTTTTTTTTCTTGGTCGTTGGTTGGCATGTGATGGTGAATGTGTGGCAGCATAGAGAGAAAACGTGGTACTTTCAATGTGCCCAAATCTTGGGATCATTTTCTGTGTTATGTTGTCATAGGTGATCTGTTAATTTGTTAATCCAGTGATGTCATTGCCCAGCTGTAAGGCTGCTGCTGAACATTCTTATCCATCCAGTTGTGTTCACGAAAAGTATTGGTTGCTAACTGATGTGCTGGGCAGCTGTTGGTGTGAAATCTTCCTCATCTACTTTATGACAAATTAGACAAGTTAGATCAGAATACCATTTCAGGTGAGTTGGCTGCTCTCACCTAGAGCAGATTAGAGAGAGTACAGATTTCCAGCAAATTAGCAGAGGTAATAACTTCCAATAGGGAAACAAAATAAGTAGAAATTGGTGTTGTTTTCCACTGATGAATGGTGATATGAAATAGAACTGTCAGAAGACCAACCTCTGATACCAGTCCTTCTTACTCCTGCCATTTGGACTTTATTTAAAAATAAACCAGCATTTTTGGAATATGAAGGGTACTACAGCAGATAACTCTTGTGCTCCTGGAAGTTTGTAGGGAAGAGGAATAATATAGGATGCTTTGTGACATGGCCTTTCCTAACATTCCTGTGCCTCGCTCTTTTAATGCTGTTCTCACTACCTTTCAGTCTTGGGTATCTTTAAAAGAGCTAGGCTTATGCATGTAACAATTTTAAAACTGATTTAGAGAAGTTTAAGGTAGAAGAGCAGAACAGTATTTGATTCCTTTGTGATGAATGCATCCAATCTTACCGGGTCATCCAGAGTTAAAAAGAAGTTGACCACTAAAATACTTCTGCAGCCTCCATTTTTAGAACAATTTCACATTGCTGCAGTAGCCTGTTTCATGTGTCAGAAACCTGTCAAAATCCATCCCTTTGGCTGCACGTAACGGATTGCTTGAATTCTTCTTTCATATTAGTAATATAGTTTTCTCTCCTGGAGGCATACTGTTTTCCTATGTGGACAGTCTCTTGGTTGAAATTAAACTGAACCTGTGTATGTCACTCAGTTGTGATCCTTCAGCATGCAAAATGAGACAACTGAAAATAAGCCAAATATGTAGTATTGCATGTGATATTATGTATCTTAAAAGTTATTATCCAAATTTGGAAATATTTGTCAGAAATCCCAATTTTTGCAAGTCAAAAAAAGACTTTTTAATGGTGGTTTTTGATAAGAGCTCCTCCCCTTCCAGAAATATACTAGCTTGAAGTATGTGCTTCTCAGCACAAGTAGGTGTTATAAAAATAATTAATCTTTAATATTTCTAAGTAACATTTGGCAAAAGTTTAATTGCTCTTGTAGGACACAATGAAAGTTTGAAATCTACCTTGCAAGACCTTTGTCTTGAAATATGTCAAAAAGCGAGTTTTAATAAAGGTGTTACAGCATTTTATCTAGAAATCAAATTACTGCATTATGTTACTTTTCTTGTTTGTACTAGAGAGAACTAGGCTGAAAAGAGTAGTGTTGTGATCTAGATGCTTTAAACAGGTATAAACCCTCAGGAAATAAAATAGTTCAGTTTTCTGCGATAGGCAGAGCCTGCAGAAGGCTGGATACTTTAATGAGATAAAAGGCTGATCTGACAGCTCGGATGCTCTTCATTTGAGACCTTCTCTGAAATTGTTATCACAAGCTCTCAGGAACATCTGAGGACTATTTTGCTTGGTCCCTTTGTTGGAAGATTTGAGTTCAGCAGCCTGTAAGAGATAAATGATACCTATTAGAAATGCACAAGTTGTGTAAGCACAGAGTTTGACATTTGGAAATCTCAGTTTATGGATGCTGCTCTCTGAATTCAGAGCTGTGTAATCTACCTTCCTCTTCATCTGCTCAGGCATTATAGATACAGTAGTCAATTTTTTTTTTTTTTACTGAGTTCTGTGTTTTTTGTTTTTCTGTTCTGCTGCTGTTGATTGCTAAGAACTTTGCCAGTGGAACCTGTCCAGACCTTTTGATGGTCTTCTATCAGCTAGAACGAACTTAAAAGTATTACATTTTTCTTAGAATTTCTACTTGACATTTCAACATTTTTGTAAATCATTCAGCGAGCTCCTGGACTCAAACACATGCTCTTATGGGTTTTGTGTGTGTATATAATTAACAGCTCTCGAGGATGCTGTAGAAGTGGATGCATACAGAGAAGTAAATGAGCAGGTGTCAGGACAACGAACTACCTTTTCAGTAGTATGTTTTGTACCCTGTAGGACAGCTCTAAAAAAATTAAGTGTTAGAAATTGTTGAATCTGGTGAGCAGCTTAAAGAATGCTATTTAGTCTCTCTGTTATGCTTAGAGTGGAAGCAGTGATGAAATTTACTTTTGTTTCAGATAAATGCAAGTGAAATTCAGAGGTTTTCGGATTTTCCGTTGTCAAAGAAAACCCTAAAAGGTAAGTACAGAAGTTTTTTTAAAAGCATTTTGAGTAAAAATGAATGTATTGTATATTTGCAGCTGATTTTTTATTATTTTTAATTTTCTTTAAGGTTTAGATAAGTAATGCCATTTACAGTGTTTGGTAAACAGGTAAATACAGCTCTGGGCAAGGCAAAAATAACATTTTTTTTTCCCCCCCCCTCTCCCACACCCACTTTTCTCTTCCCACAATGCAAATACTAGGATTGCAGGAAGCTCAGTATCGTGCGGTAACGGAGATACAGAGACAAACCATAGGTTTGGCTTTACAAGGTAAAGATGTACTTGGAGCTGCAAAGACTGGATCAGGCAAAACCTTGGCTTTTATTGTCCCAGTAAGTAATTTACATCCTCCATTTGTACTTAAGCCAATTATCTGGGAACCATTGATGTCAAACAGCTTAGCTTAATAGATCCTGGGAGAAGGTGTTTAATTGCCTTCAACTGTTCCAAGAAAGCCAAGATACTAATTTAATAAAGCTTCTTGAAGTTCCAAAATAATTAAATTCTTGACCCTAGGAATATTCTGACACTTAGAAATTCTATTTGGATCCTTACATTACATTAGTAGACCCTGAGTGATTTAGGAAGTGCTTGGTTTTTTTTTCAGGAATCTGTTTTCCTGGTGCAACTGCACTTGTCTGATTATTTTAAAATTTGAAAACTAAGTGTATATAATATAATGATGAACTGGTGGAATATTTTCAGTTCCTTCAACTGTTTTTAAATGGGTGCTTTTCACCCCTTTAACATTTTTCGGATTTGGGCTTTATAGAGCAAGCTTGCACTTCTCATATGAAGACAGGCTGAGGGAATTGGGGCTGTTCAGCCTGGAGAAGAGAAGGCTCTGGGGAGACGTTATAGCACCTTCCAGTACTTGAAAGGGGCTACAGGAAAGCTGGGGAGGGGCATTTTACAAGGTCATGTAGCGATAGGACAAGGGGTAATGGCTTTAAACTGGACAATGGGAGATGTAGGTTAGACATTAGGAGGAAATTCTTCATTGTGAGGGTGTTGAGACACTGGAACAGGTTGGCCAGGGAAGCTGTGGAAGCTCCATCCCTGGAAGCGATCAAGGCCAGGATGGATGGGGCTTGGAGAAATCTAGGGTAGTGGGAGGTGTCCCTGCCCATGCAGGGGGGTTGGAACTAGATGGTCTTTAAGGTCCCTTCCAACTCAGACCCTTGATGATAATTAAGCTTAGTGATGGTGCACTTCCATTTCCTTGTTGTCTTTTGTGGACTCCGTAAAAATCACTTCCAGGTGCAGCAGCAATAGAAGTGGAAGAAGGAAAACAAGATTAAAACCCCTGTCATGGGTGATAAATGCTTGACTGCTTTACTTTTACTTTATTATGCTCTATATTTCATTTCTTCAAGTTGAAAGTATAATTGAGAAGTTTGTTTTCTTAAAGTGCCAACATAAATGGATACAAAACTTACCATATTATGATTATAGAGGCATGGTGGGGTTTTTTTGCTTTAAACATGATTTGTATTTTTGTGAGCATAAATTTCTTTAGAGCCTATTCTGTCAGTAACTTCGGGAACAATAGTAGGTGTTTTGAATACCCTTTTTAGTTCAGCAGATTTATGGTTTATGCTGTTTTCTCAACTATTTTCTATTAGTAAAGAAAAAAAAATGTTGTTGGCTTCAGAAGACAGTCTTGTGAACTAGAGAAACAAAAGTGAGATTACCTAATTATTTAATGTAGGACTAGAAATACTTAGTTTTACAAACCTTGTTTTAAAAGAGTTGCAGGGTAAGTGGTAAGAAAAGATCTGGAGAAATGAAGAGTGGAAAAAAATGAATTGTACAACGATACTTAGCAGCCTTCAGTATTTCAGAATGCTTTAGGTATTCATACCTATGAAATCTTTGGTGTTGGGATTAGCTGACTAAGAGAGTGTTTGTGGTGCAAATTTATAGCAGGAGGAACAATCCTGGTTTGTGGTATATGGCAACTTTAGTTGCAATGCTCTGTATATACCATGTGTAGGTAGTACTGCTTCAAGTCTATAATCAGAATTATAGCTGCAGTAATTGACTTTCTTCTAGTTGCTCATTCTCTTTCTGGTGTCCACAGGACATTATGAGTGTGTTTTTTCTACACTGATTTCTAGTCTTGTATACATAATTAAGGCTTAATTTCCAGAATTTAGCACAGTAGGATTAATTATGCAGTAAAATGTTTATTATTTACCACCCATTACTGTCTGTTACAGAGTGGTACTGGGGAACTTTGCTATAGTAAGTGTCATAATATGTGACATGTATAGTAATGGTTCCTCAAGTCTTATTTTAAATAGCATGGCTTTATCTTTTTTGTGACACTTTTTGTTACAAATTTGTTGTTACATCTTTTCCTTCTGAGACTTGTAGTTTTTTCAGGCTTTGGAGCTGCTGTATCGCCAGCAGTGGACTTCAGCTGATGGTCTGGGAGTTCTGATCATATCGCCTACCCGGGAACTGGCCTATCAAACCTTCAAGGTTTTGCGTAAAGTGGGAAAGAATCATGAGTTCTCAGCTGGTCTCATCATTGGAGGAAAGGTGGGTCCTCTCTTGGTATTTGCTGCATGGAAGCAAAAATGAGTGCTGTATTAAGTGCTGGGTTAGGAAGGAAACCTTGGAAATGAAGTCAGGGAATGAGTAGTTAATGGGAACCTGTCAGTGACCCACTCATTTTCCTGTTGGTGTGCTGTGTCTTTTGAAGCTTTTGCGTATTTACAGTCCTTCTGGGTTACATGACTGGAGGAGCCTTCCTGCCAAGTCTTTCAGGACTATCCTGTTAATTTAGATTAATCTGAAATCCTTTTCACTCAAGCCACGAGTGTGAGCATGCTGAAGAAAATGCGGTGTATCTGTAGAAAGAGGAAAGCTGGTTCTTGACTGCTCTTTCTAAAAGCTGTTGACAGATTAAGCTGGCCTGGCCATCTCTGGCACTGAGCTTCTAGTGAGAACAACTAGAGCTAAGATGGTTTAACTCCTTTTCAGGATCTGAAGGAAGAGACTGAAAGAATCCACCACATAAACATGCTGATTTGCACTCCAGGACGGCTTCTACAGCACATGGATGAAACTTCGTATTTCTATGCATCTGATCTGCAAATGTTGAGTAGGTATTTTGAAAACTTGAAAGTACTAAAAAAATATTTCGTAGCAGTTCATTATTGTGTGAAGCATGTCCTTGAGTAAAAAGTTTATCCTAGTCGTGGTATGTAGATGAAATGGCATTAAAATTCACACATGTACAAATTAAAAAAGAAAACAACAAAGCCCATTTCTTGTGTGTGCTTTCTCTCAAAATAGTTGCTGAGCTTGCCTTCCTTTATGATGATAAGAAGGGACCCAAAACCAAACATGGTATTCCATATAATCCTTTAGATCTCCCTTGGCTAATGCTGGCCTTACCTTTCTGGCTGTGGCTGTTGTATTTTTCCTGACATGATCATTAACTATATGGAATATCCATCACGGTGTGCGTATTTTGAGCCAGTTCTAGAAAACAGTTTTCTTTGAATTTTAAGAGAGATAGTCTTTTCATTTTTTTGTTAGTATTGTTAACATTGTTTCTTTTCTTCCTTTCAAGCTCAGTGTAATGAGATGGTTTGCTTGCCACAGGGAACTATATAATCTTTAGCATAGCTTGAGGAATATAAAAGCAATTAAGAAGCTAATGAAGCTGTTGAAATGTGAAATTATGCTTGCCTACACTTAGTACAACTCATGGAAGCTAGACAAGAATTACATTGAACACAGGCCCTTTTCTTAAAGCTTTCTCTCTGTGCTACTCTTTTTATACTCTGTGTTTCAATGGCAGATTCAGCTTAGGTGCAGGAGACTTGCTCTGTCATTAGTAGCACAGCATTGTTTTACATTCCATAGTTTTGTTTCAGTGACAGGACAGGGAGTTTGTAATTTGCAGTCTGTCTGCAAATTGTTGAACTGTTTACTGGAAATGCTGATCTTTTATGCTTCAGTGTGTGAAGCTGAGTACTGTACTACATAGATTGTGGAAAATCCTATCACTTCTATTGCAGGTTTTTTAAAAACATGTTTTACGGAGTATATGAATATCTAAAGAGAATCATGTCATATACAGTAATTAAGTTAATTTCTTCAGTTTAGGTGGGCATGGATTTTTGTACTATATTGATTTGGTGTACGATTATATATATATATAAATAAAACTAAAACCAGGTTTTCTCAAACTGTCTCTCAATTCAGTTCTTGATGAAGCTGATAGAATTCTAGACATGGGGTTTGCAGATACAATGAATGCAATAATAGAAAATCTACCTAAGAAACGCCAGACCTTGCTTTTTTCTGCAACACAAACAAAATCTGTGAAGGATCTTGCACGGCTGAGTTTGAAAGATCCAGAATATGTTTGGGTTCATGAGAAAGCCAAATTCAGGTATGTTGGGATAATTTTTTTTTTCCTGTGTCGAATTAAACAGATGGTGATTCTACTGAAGTGATTCTACTGAACTGCTTCTCTAAGTGTCAGTCCCCTGAATCAGAAGGAAATGCTGCTCTGTTGGGGAAGTGCAGAATGACAGTCTTGTTTCTGTATTCAGGATTAGGTACCCAAAGGAAAGCATATGGCATTAGTCCATATTCAGTGAGTCTTGTGGTTTCCTGATGTGCTGGACTTACTGTGCACACATAATGAAGCTGTAATGCCACACAGTTGGGATCAGAATGGCAAGACCTTGTGAGAAGTGCAGTATGTGGTCTGCCAAGCTCAAAAAATTTAATGTGTCACTAACTGAAAAAAAAAAGCTTTTTTTTTTTTTTGGCATGTTCTTTTTCTTTTGAAATGTAAGTGAAGAATGTTATTTAATATATTGCATTTCTGTGGGTTCTGTGATCTCAGTATCAAATTGCTTATGAACACATACGACTTTTTTTTAATGCATGTATTTCTATATATAAGGTGCAGGAGAAATGTGAAGCTCAGAAATAAAGATAGCTTTCCCAAGAGCAAATAAGAAATCATCAGCAAAATGAGCAGCAGAACCAGGTTAAATCCTGAGGCAGTTTTAAATATTTAATTTCACCATCAATGTATTATACTGCAAATACCTTTTGAAAATCAGTTGTACTATTAAGGCATCTTAAGTAAGCCTGATTGTCTGAAAAAAATTATGTGGTTAGTGGCCTCATAGCAGAAGAAGATGTACAAGCCTATATGTAGTCTTCATTTTGAGGACTGAATATATATATACATCTTTTTCATGGATCTCACATTTTTTGTCAAGTGTCTTTTAAATTACATTTAATTGTTTTATATTTGGGAGAGTGCAATTAGACAAACTGAATCAAAAAGAGGAAAGTATTAATTACTGTCTTAGTATGCAATAGGTTATTGCCTTGTGAAAACAATTTCCTCTGAAAGACTTAAAAAGCAAAAGGTGCCAAGGCATAATTCAAAGTAACTGGCACAATAAAAACTGGAGCAGTGTCTTGTGCCCCTTGGGAGGGTGACATTACCTGTAATAAAGTAACTTTGAATACTCTTGATCTGTTTAGGGTGAGGCAGAGGAACTGTGACAGATGAACATGTAGATGTATTTCAAGGACGAATATGCTGAAGAATTTATTTTTTTTTAGTTTGTTTTCTTTTGTAAAGAATGGAAGGCTGAGTTAAGATGACAATTCAGAGCTTAAGAATCTCTTTGCATGTCAGGCTGTAATCAGTTGAAGTACATCAATGCTTTTTTTGAGTGCATTAGACTGTGCTTTGACATTGCCTTAAGCTCAAAAGACGCTTTAATCAAACTAATAGGCAAAATTGCATTTTTAGTCAAGGCAATTTGAATGTCACTGCTTAGACATGGAAACTATTTAGCTTGCTAATAGTAAGTAAATTTAGAAATACTGTACAAAGTTATCCCCTTCTTCTCACTGGCTTTTAGTAAGAAAATTGATTCATCTTTCAAGAGTAGTTTTCTAATGGAGCTGCTGAGATTTTTTTCCTCAAAGTTTAATCACTTTCCAGCCTGACATTTTAAATTTTTTTTCTTCTCTTTGAGTATTTGTCAAACACTCTTGTCTTAAAAGAAAGGACAGACGTCCTTGTATATATTGTGTGCCTGTGTATTCTCTCCCTTTCTCTTCTTTCTCATTTTAATGTTTTAGGAATTAATGGTATCAAAATGTCTTTTTTGGGTTTCTTTAGTACCCCTGCAACTTTGGACCAGAACTATGTTGTCTGTGAGCTTCAGCAAAAAGTAAACATGTTGTACTCTTTCCTGAGAAGTCACTTGAAAAAGAAGAGTATTGTGTTTTTTGCAAGCTGTAAAGAGGTATGGATATTCCTACACTCTCCCGTAGCATTTTAAAACTATTAGAAATACTCATGCAGATGTCAAGACACCAGAGAGGGGAGATTCTGGACTAGCTTGCAACAGGAAGTTTGGGAGAAACCAGACATCACCTGCTGCTGTAGGCATGTCATGCTGGGCTTGCCTGCTGGAAAACTGAGCTACCCAGACTCAATGCAGGAAGGTCCTTTAGTTACTCTGGTTCATTTACGAAATGTCATTGGAAGGCTTGACAATCTTGTGCTACATTTCATTTCCCATTTTAGTACCTGGGTGTGTGACAAAGTCTCAAAATAGCATCTTTTGTCTGTGATGTAGAGAAAAGTGTATTTTATTTGATGTGCTAAGTCAGTTGTTGTACTGGATATGATCTTAACAAGTTTAATGGTTAATTTTCCCCTCCTCTAATTTGTTGGGTAGGTCCAGTATCTATTCAGAGTGTTCTGTAAGCTTCAACCTGGTCTTCCTGTACTGGCACTCCATGGCAAGCAGCATCAGATGAAGAGAATGGAAGTCTACACTTGTTTTGTTCGGAAAAAGGCAGCAGTACTTTTTGCAACAGATATTGCAGCTCGTGGCTTGGGTATGTACCCAGAGAAGCAATAGTTCCTCACAAAATGATGGTCTTAGACTTTTAAACCATTATCAGTGATAGTATTTCCTGAAGACCAACCTGGTTGATAAGAAATTAATCTGTGGTTTGCTTAAGAGCTCATATCTCAAAGAGGTAAGCTACCTAAGAGTTCTACTGTGTCTTAACTGAAGAGGCCCACTTCATTTGGGGTTATTTTTTCTTTTTGTCTTGGAAAGACCTATTTTGTCACTAGTTTTGTAATGGCATTTGTTAGCAAGGTAGTCAGTTGCAGCTGTAATTTATTTGTTTGTTTATTTATTTAAGTCTGTAGACGATCTGGTTTTTCCAACCATATTTTGTGACAAATATCTGAAATGAGAGAAAATTGAAGTAGTGATGTATTTGCTTACTACATGCCTTAAGGCAAGATTTCAGCAGTTTTAAATATTTCTGATGTGCCTGTATCCTGTGGATTTTTCCAAATGATATGAAAAATTACTAACCTACCAGTATGTGAAAATAAAAACCAGAAGAATTTTCAATGTCTGAACTATGAATGCTGTTATGGGACTCTGTTCTTAAGGAGATAGAAAAATAAATGAGGGAAAAAGCAAGAATATTTATAGGACTTGTTTTGGCTTGGGTTTCTTTCCTATTTTTGTTCCTACTTTGTATTTTCTGTGGGTACTTTTGGCTTTTTTTTTTTTTCCTTAGTTCTTGGGGGCATTTGAGTATGGCACAAGACTGCTTTCAGGAGTCTAATCTTTCTTTCAGATAGCAAATTCTGTTGTCCAAAATGTAAGGTTTTGTCAGTATGCTAAAAAAGAAAGGAAGATGCTGTAAAAATGGAAGGCAGAAATGAAAACTGTTGTACCTTCTGCATTGCTGAAATCTCACTAGTTTGAATCTAATGTGGATGTGCTTGGTTGGGTAGTTACAGACTTGCTGCTGCTGGATGAAGTGCAGCAATTAAAAAATGTTTCTTAATGATGTCATTCACATTAGATATTTATCATAGAATCATAAATGCCAGGCTGGAAGGGACCTCAAGGGTCATCTGCTCCAACCTTTCTACTTACTACTATAGTTTATATGAGATGGCTCAGCACCCTGTCAAGCTGAGACTTAAAACTGTCCAGTGTGGGGGGAATCTACCACTTCCACAGCACATGTTCACTCATATTGAGCCTGTTAACCACCAAGACCCCCAGGTCCCTTTCCATAGGGCTGCTCTCCAGCCAGAAGGATCCCAGTCTGAACTGTACTCCTGGGTTATTGTTCCCAGGTGCAAGACCTTACACTTCTCTCCACTGAGCTTCATAAGGTTCCTGCTAGTCCACTCCTCCAGCCTGTCTAGGTCATCAAGCTTTTCCTTCTGAGGTGTCAGCCTCTTCACTTGGGGTCATCAGCAAACTTCATCAGGGTGCGCTTGATCCCAACACCCGGGTCACTGAGGAAGATGTTAAACAGCATTGGGCCCAAAATTCATCCCTGGGGGACCCCACTTGTGACCAGTTGCCAGTTTGAGGAGGAACTACTTACTATCACCCCCTCAGTATGGTCTGTCAGCCAGTTCCCCACCCGCCACACAGACCACTTGTCAAGGCCATAACAAGTCAGTTTCTCCAGGAGGAGGCTGTGGAGGACTGTATCAAAAACCTTGGAGAAGTCCAGATTGACAATGCCCACCACTTGCCCTACATCAATGCGGGTTACTTTGTCATAGAAGGGGATCAGGTTTGTCAAGCACAATTTGTCCCCTGGTCTGCCTTGGTGGCTTTTCCTAATCATGTGCTTCAATTGAGTTGGGACAGTCCCCAGGAGGATTTGCTCCATGACTTTCCCAGGGACTGAAGTGAGGATAATGGGTCTGTAATTACCTGGATCCTCCTTTGAATTTTTCTTATAGATGGGGGTGACATTAGTCTTCCTCCAGTCCTCAGGGACATCTCCCAGTCTCCACCACTTCTCAAAGATTATGGAGAAGCTTTGCAATGACATCAGCAGCTCTCTCAATATCCTCAGGTGGGTGGCATCCAGACCCATTGATTTGAACAGGTCAAGCTCCTATAATAGTTGACACACCAACTCCTCCTTCACTGAATGCAGGTTGGTGTCTGCATCAACCTGGATTTTTGTTCCTATGGCCTGGGACCTGACAGCACTGGTAAAGACAGAGGTGAAGAAGGTGTTGAGGACTTCTTCCTTTTCAGCATTGTTGGTGACGAGTTCACCTCTCCTTCTTAATAGTGGGCCAACATGATTCCTCTCTTTCTGCTTGTTGTTAATGTATCTGAAGAACCCTTTCTTGAAGTTGTTGACATCTGCTCAGTTTGAGCTCAAGCTGAGCTTTTGCTTTCCTAACTGCATCTCTGCATCCCCCGGCAATACCCTTGTAATTTTCAGCCAGTAATGTTCCACTTTTCCACCTCTGGTACATTTGCCTTTTGATTCTGAGGAGACCCAGAAGCTCATAGTTAAGCCAAAGGGGTCTCTTGTTCAGGCAACTTCCCTTGCCTTTAGAGGGGATGAACAGGTTTTGCATATCTAGGACAGTTTTCTTGAAAAACTCCCAGTGCTCATTAGCTCCTTTACTCTCTGTGGAAGCTTCTCACAGAATCTCTTCCAACTGAGCCCTGAGTCAGCTGAAGTTAGCTCTTCTAAAATCTAAAACCTTTGTCCTGGAATGAACTTTAATTGTGCTCAGCAGTATCCTGAAGTCCACAAAACTCTGGTCACTGCAGCCAAGTCTATCACTAACAGATATTACAGAGCAGGTTTTCTTGGTTAGTGAGTAGTAAGTCCAGCTGTGCCGCACTCCTGATTGGCACATCCAACATTTGTGTGAAGAAGCAGTCTTCTACACGTTCTAGGAACTTGATAGATGGCAGATGAACGGCATTGTTGTTCCTCCAACAAATGTCTAGGTAGTTTAAGTCACCCATAAGGACCAGGTTTTGTTGGCCCAGCGCTTCCCAAGTGACCTGAGTATCACTTCATTTATCACATCGTCTTGGTTTTAGGGTCGGCAACAGTGCCTACTGTAAGGTCACCCTTGGAGACAACCCCTCTGATTTTGACCCAGAGGCATTCAATAGGGCTGCCACACTTAACATAGCTGACTTCTTTACATTCCAGGTTTTCCTTAATACAGAGTGTGACTCCACCTCTTCTCCCCTGCCTATCTTTACAGACAGCCTATAGCATCTATCACGGTCCTTCAGTCTTGTGAGTCATTCCAACATGTTTCAGTTATTCCTGTGATTATATAATTGTCTGACTGGTCATGGAGCTCCAGTTCCTCCTGTTTGTTTCCCAGACTGCGTGTGTATACACTTCAGGAGGCTGATCTTTTGGTTCTCATTTAAGGGGACAGCTGAGGCACATCTTGCAGTACTTGGGTTGGCCTGGTATATTCCCCAATCTGTTATAGTGGTGATAGTGGAATGGTCATTGCTGTTTGGGATCCCTCCCCCCAGGTCCTTCACTTTAAAGTCTGCCTCACCAAGTTGGCCAGCCTGTTGCCAAAGATTCCTCTGCCTCTCTTAGAGAGGTGGATTCCATCCCTTCTCAGCAGGTTGTAGCCCTCGTAGAAGGTCCCAGACTGATACTTCTGCATGTGAACAGTTGTGTCTCACCACAGCTAACTTCAAACTCCAGTGGAGCAGGACGTTGATACTTGTAGATGAAAAGGGGGTCAGATACTGTTATTTAATTGTTAAATGTAGTGGTGATTTATTATCTGTGTTACACAAAGCATTCCTGTGCTTGTCAAGTGTGAAATTACGTTTAGTACACTGTCATAATTTAGGAAATGAGGACGCTGTTAATTTTAGCTTTCTTTGGTGAAGACGATGATTGTTTATGAAATATTAAAACATGCAATTAATCTTGTATTTTTTTCAGAGGTTGAACCCAATGTCTATAAATTGGTCTAAATGGTGGTTCTTACAGAAAATAATGCTGCAAAATAACATGTTGCTCTTGAATAGGAGAATTTTAAGTAAAGTGAGCTTAAGTTTTAATTTTTTTCTTTACACAGATTTTCCAGCAGTGAACTGGGTCATTCAGTTTGATTGTCCAGAAGATGCAAACACATATATCCACAGAGTGGGAAGAACAGCCAGGTTTGTGTTCATTTCTCATTTATATTTTAATGTTTAAAATTAGATCACTTTAGGGACAGATAAATGGCTAAAGACTCACTTGAAAATATGAACATACAAATTGAAAAGAAAGAAGGGCTGTTATCACTGAAAGACCCTTTTGATTACTTAAGAGTAATGGTTTACCTTAATTTCTTATTGAGCATCAGAGACTCCTTACAGCAGACAGAAAAAATATGCCCAGTTGTTTAGTCTGATCAGGGAAGATTAGTAGTGAGGAAGCAAAAATCTTCCTTTGTACTTAGCAGAATTACTTCAAAGGCTGAGTTGAGCATGTTTGTGATGGAAAAACTTGTTTTGCCACTGCCGTTTATAGACAATTAAGGCTTTAAACTGTGGATCCAATTTCTTTGTGCCATTGAAGACTCTTCAAAAGAATGGAAATATTTCTTCCTTACTTTAATTTGAGAGGGAAGGAACCAAATAATGTTAATTACAGGTTAAGTTCTTGTTTTTCTGAGTGTTTTGTAGACATATTCTTAAGGATAGTGTTAGTTGAAATATTTGTAGCTAAGCCTTTATGCTGAAAGAGAGTTACCCTTGAAAGCCTGGTCCTTGACCTCAGTAGTAGATTTTTTTTTAGAGAAGCAGGAGTTGTTATTGTGTAAAGTTCAGTAGATAAAAAATGATATGGAGTTATCTGAAGGATGACCTGGCATTACAGTTTGTACGTAATTTAATTTGTTTGCAATAGGACTTAAAACATTCTGTCAATCTAATGACAGAAGAGTCTCTTAGAGCAGAACTTCAGCACTCTGCACTACAGGAGTCTGAAATCCATCTTTCTGGATCAGATGGCATTAAATTTTGGTGACTGTGACAGGAGTCTGTACTTTAGCCCTCTTTCAGAATGTGGAAGTTCTAGCCATGTTGTCATTGTAATTGGGAATGTTTCTGCCCCATTCTTTCCTATGTCCTCCGTTTTCTGATCTACCTGTTATAATAGAAGGGAATAATAATTTTAAAAATGCTTTTGGAAATAAACTTCGAATAAAATTAGTGAATGTTTAATCTATTTAGATAAAACACGTAGCTACTTGGCTAAATTCAAATCTAGATGTAATCTCTTGCATCTCAGTTGAGAGAAAAGCATAGAGGTTTAGTTAGAATTCTGTTGTTGGGTTTTTCATTCCCTTCTTTTTGAATCCTCTGTGACTTTGATAGAAGGGTTGTGATTTTATTATTATTTTTTTTTATGGCATGCTGTCATCGTGGAAAGGAAAACAATCTATTTGACATTGTTTAAATGGCAGTTTCTGGAAGGCTTGTGCTTGTCCTGAGCTGTGTCACTGGGGTAAAGCACCTCTCTGGAGCTACCGTCCTCAGGCCTTGTCCCAGTTCTCATTAGGTGCTGAGAAGAGCAATTTTAAGTAGGTTTAGAGAGGGGAAGCAGCTACAGAAAGACAAATAATGTGCCTTTGTCACAATACTTTTAATATAACGTCATTCTGACAAAGATGTTAGCCTTGCAACCTTAAGAAGATGTCTTCAACTACCTTTTACATACAGCCTTCTGTCATTGCTTATGTAAGAAGTAAAGCAGTCCTTGAAAGAGATTTGTTCAGTGAACTTAACAGCATGAAATCAATCTTTGAAAATAAAACAAGGGAGATGTCTACTCATTTTAACTAAATACCATGCATTAAGTAAATGTGCTAATGCAGTTTTAGATATGGATAATTGAGAATGTACTTCTCAGTGAACTCGTAAATGTTGAGTAGGAAACTTCACTTGTTTTCAGTAGCTCGTTGGTAGAGAAGCTTGTGTTCTAGAGACTTGATAAAAATAAACTGAACTGCAGTTTAGCAGACCTCATTAATGAGGTTAGAGATAATTACAAATTTTCATGGGTTAAGAGGGTGTGTAATTGCATGGAATGAAAGCTAAATTAAATATCTCAGCTAATTGAGAGACTGTGTTAAACTGTAATTAAAACTGGGATGCTAAATACTGTTTATTTTTGAAATAAAATTATTTTGTGATACAAAAGTAATTATGAAAGTTGAGATAAATTATTTTGAGGATGGGGCCAAGAAACCTTTTGACTATCGTGGATGTGTTCCCACATCTGTTTTACAGTTTTGCAAAGCCTTATCTAAGATGAAAGGTAATGATTGTTTTATAAGTGGATAAGAGCACTGTGTTCTCTAAGTAACATTTCACTTGCATTTCATCCTACTGAAGAACATAAATTGCCACTCCTGCGTTTTTGATTTATGATAAAGTAAGATCAAGAAAATCTGAGTGTTGCCCAGTAATGCTTTTACTTTGTAGTAGAAATGACATATATTGATTTATTTTTTTTTTTAACTTGAAAGATATGCTATGATTGGAGTGATTTGAAGCTATTTCTGCATTTTAAAGCTAATTGTGTTTAAAAATAATTATTTAAAGTCTTAACAAGTTTAGTAACAGAATTCCTAAAATACTGACAATATCATCGCCATGCCCATAAATATTTTTTGCTATGTTTTTGTCACAATCTCTTAGCAAGTCTGTAATTTAAAATTCTAGGTCACAATATTTTCCTCTGGGTTTTAGTTTCAGGAATTCTAAGTAAATAAGAGGTACTTGGAGCAATTGTCTGCAAAATTAATTTATTCTGGCTTTTAATTTCTATTGATGCCTTCTGTTCTGTAGCCTGTGAATCCTACAGTTGAAAATATTCTTTGATCAGTTTTGTGAGGCACAGTGAGTTACAGTGCCACTAGGGGACAGCAGAAGATAGTAATTTCTGAAGCATACCCATACTCACTTTTTTTCCCACTGCTTTTCCAAACATAATTTGTAAGGTTGTATGGCATGAAAGAAACATATACAGGGATGTTTTTGTTTCAGTTGTGATTGCATTGATGAGTACAAAAGACACTGAACAGTCTATTTTAACTTGCCATTCATGTGTAAATATCTTGTATTTTCTATTTACTTGTATCTGGGCACTTCTCAGTAATTGATTTCTTTCCTCCCTCCACTGCTTGCTTTTTTTTTTCTTCTTCTTCAGAGGAGACATTAAAAACTGTTACTTAAGTTCCATGATTTTTCTGTCAGGAGTGTTTTGGGTTTTTTTTAATACATATATTGACCATGGAATGTTAAACAGAACATTTTTTTTTTTTTTTTTTCCTCTGCAGTTCTTACTGTGGTATGTCTAGAACTTTATGTAGGATTTAGGTCTGGCTCAGGCTTCTGGTGGTATTTAATCAAGGCTTATTGGGTAGGTTTGTTAGGTGTTTAAAGTGACTTAGGAAAGTCACTGTGATTTTGTTGTTGTCATTAAAAGTAGTGTGCATACAGGCATGCATGTTCTGTCTAGCTCTACATACCATTTTTTCCTCTTGGTATATTATATTCTGTCTGTGGTATGTCTAGAACTTTATGTAGGATTTAGGTCTGGCTCAGGCTTCTGGTGGTATTTAATCAAGGCTTATTGGGTAGGTTTGTTAGGTGTTTAAAGTGACTTAGGAAAGTCACTGTGATTTTGTTGTTGTCATTAAAAGTAGTGTGCATACAGGCATGCATGTTCTGTCTAGCTCTACATACCATTTTTTCCTCTTGGTATATTATATTCTGCAAGTAAATGGAATAATGAAAGTGTCTTCCCAAAGCCAGATACTCTATTGCCTGCCATCTTTGTACTGGCCAATCTGGTGATTAGAGCCAAGAAGTACAAAAAAAGACTTTAAAAAGTCTATAGTTTTTAAAATTCCTTGTGAATATTGAAGAATACACACACATAAAATCTTGGGAATGTGAAAGGGGCAGGTCATACAATGATCTTACTCTGCCATGAAGTTAAATGGTTTGAATCATGCTCTTTGGGCCTCTTCTCAAGTAATGGCCCATTATCTGTGTGAAAGTGAGACAAATAAGCCTTTGGAGTAATCCTTGCAAGTGGCAATAACACATTTAAAAATGTGAGTGACTTAATGGAACTTTTTTACAATGGTGGAAGCTTGATTTTTTTCCTCTTTTTTTTTTTAAATTTGGAAATATATCCCAAGGATACGTCTTGAATCCGGCACAGACAGTAGAGTTGAGACAGCAATAGTTGAGACTCAAGCTAAGTAAAAATAGCTGTTAGTGGAGGTCACAAGAAATTGTTGACACCACGTATTTAACTTGTCATTCACATTATTCAGTTCTCTAAAATTAATCACTGTGTTCTAGCTACATTCCTGACAGTGGCCTGCACTGTTACCCATTAGCATTCTCTTCATAATGGCATGGTATGTGTGTTCCAATACACAGAAATACAAGGTGGCTGACATGAAGCTATTCTGTAAGCTGTAATAAAAAAATTAAGCATATGTGTTTTAATGCAGTAGAATGCACACAGCTGCTGTGGAAAATTAATTGCTTACTGTCTAGGCTGGAGAACCCAATGACCTCCCAAGGCGTTTTGAATTCAATTTATTCTGAGACTAGCATGGTAAGGTTGGTGAGCCGCTGCCTATTCTTGTCCATTATTTCTTGTGACTAGTCTGTCTGGCAAGCAACTACAACTGAATGAAGGGGATTATGTTTTTGTGGTATGAATAAAACCCAGTTGCATAGTTCTTAGAACTTGGCAGTGGATATAAATGAGCAACTGTCCAGACAGGAGGAGGAAAAGATGTTAATTGATCAGAGAGAAAACAAAACAAAACACTAAAATAAACAGACTCCAAAGCAATCTCTGACTTTTTAGGAAACTGAACTAAGGTCTATGCAATGGAGAAATAGGAGTAAATTATGTGTTCTTTAAATGTTCTGTGAGATGTTGAACTGTTCACAGCCCATGGGAAAAAGCTCTTCTCCCTGGTTGAGCCAAGGAACCAGCAGTGAACACAGGTTGCAGCATTTACTCAGCTGTGAATAGGAAGCACACTTTCTGGTCTATTGTAATTTTTGTTGAGCTGCCTTAGTGGGACTTGGTGTAGATGATAACATCAGAATTTCAGTTAGCAGTGGATACCAGTCTC